AAGACCAGCAAGACCGTGTTATTTTTCGAGAATGATGACCTACACGATATAGGCAACTATTGCCCAATCTGCTTGCTGTCTGTCGTCTACAAACTTTTCACTTGAGTCAACCTGAACAGGATTGACAGAACACTGGACGAAGGACAGCCATGTGAGCAAGCACGGTTTCGAAGAGGATTTAGTACGGTGGACCACATCCACACGATAATAGGACTCACTGAAGTATCGCGAGAGTACAAAACATCGATCTGTCTCTCTTTCATCGATTTACAGAAGGCCTTTGATTCAACTGAGATAGAAGCAGGCATGGAAGCCGTTGATAGCCACGGAGTCCCTACTGAGTACATAAAGATTCTTCGTGAGCTGTACAAGAATTTCACAACGAAGATATCTCCATTCTACAACAAGATTAACATTGACGTCAAAAAAGGAGTTAGGCAAGGTGATATACCATCTCGCCAAAATTATTTACCGCCACCCTCCAGAACGTCATGCGAACATTACAATAGGATAATATGAGAGTGAAAATCGATGGTCGGCAGTTACGCCAACTTCGCTTTGGTGGTGATATCGTCCTTACAACACCAAACAGTAGCCAAGCAGAACGTATGCTTAACGACTTTGACAAAGCCTGTAGAAGAATTAGTCTTCGACTAAATTTTACAAAAACGATGACTATGAGGAACGGATTGATATCTATGTAGGTCGGGAAATCAATATGATGAACGACCTAGCTCCAGAGTTGAGCAGAAGGAAACGAGCGGCTTGGAGAACTTTTAAGAGCATCGAGGATGTAATGAAGAGGACAGAGAACACCCGACTCCATGCCAACCCCATCGACTCAACGGTACTTCCTGTCCTAACGTATGCGTCAGAAACCTGGTCGCTGCGTAAGCAGGATGAAAGGTCACTCAGCGTTATCGAACGCGCAGTCGAAAGGGCGAGGATAGGAATATCCCGTTCCACACAAATAAGTGTTGGGATCCGAAGCTACCATTTGCGTCGACGATCCAAAATCAAAGATGCCGTTCTGCACACCAAACAGCCGAAGATAGGGTGGGCCGGACACGTAATGCGTGTGAATGACAACCGATGGACAAGAGACGTTAGTGACTGGATTCCTCGGGTTGTTAAACGTACTGTAGGAAGATAACCGACTAGAAGGTCAGAGTTCTTCACAAAGAGCCCTGAAGAAGGATATGATGCTCGACGACTCCCTAGAGCGAGCAGAGTCCACTGAGCTACTCTTGCGCGCGACAGGGAAAAATGGAAGATTTACTGGCGCCCGCTCGAGTCACTCGACGATCAACGTGGCTACAGGTGATACAGTTTGGTACAGGTGAAACAGTAATAAGTACTAGTCTTTATGTAAAGCTGTCAAGATAAATCTTCGTAGTATCCAACAGTTTATTATATATAATCAAAGTATATTTCTGATAAAACGCAGTTCGTAGCTGAACGAAAAGTGAAGAACTCAACTGAAGAAGAGCTAACACTCATCGCAAATATTTGTACAGATATATGTAGTAAAATAAACCGTACAATAAGATGTTAAATAAAAAAGATTCGATAGTCTTTCTAAAAGACAAAGAAAATCGCACCTTCATTTTGTTGTCTAGTGATATATAGACTCGTAATGTGTTGACAAGGAGGTAATTGAGCAGAATGATTCTAGATCACCACGTTGTTGTAGTCGACGTTTTCGGTTAAGAACACTTATCACGGCCATGGTTGCTAGTGAAATCTGTTAGACGTCCTGATCTGCACATTGACCTTGACGATTTAATTTCTAAATTGAAGCACATTTGCAGAACAAAATGTACGGCCGCTATGAAAGCTCGTTCTCTGTGCTTATAGACTATGAAAATTCTTTGATTATGAGCTAGAAACATGCACTACGTAGCAAAGTAGAAGTATGAAAATAAAGAAGGATAGGACAGAAGTCATCTGTGGTTCGATGGAAAACGTGGAGCGGAAAATCCTGGAAGCAAAAAGACGCTAGATCGAACCACAGAGACCGAAGAAGGACATTCTATTAATGTCTTAAGGCTTATCATACATTGAGAAGCATATTGGTTGATCGTTTTTGATGAGTAGAGGTCGTAGTATTGCGTTTCTGTCGAGAACGAGTACAACACGTGTTGCCAAGGGCGTTGCGCCGGGTAACGCAGTAGTCGAGCAAGAGAACGACGACGATCAGCAGAAAGCATGCTGCGAACAACCACACGGCCCATGGCGGCACCTGAGCGGATACAAGTTGTCGAGAAATACACTGGCATTGTTTTTCGATAACAATGGTAGAAACACCACCGGACAGTCTCAGACGCCAGCTAGTTCGTCACAGCCTATATGACCATCTATGTACAACGAAAAATTGCATAACATGACCTAACGGTAGAGATGGCGTTTGCATGAGTTAAGGTACCGTGTACCTAATCTCTCGTAAAGCGTTTGGAGACCAATACTTGGCGAAACGGGTAGACCACTCTGCGCCAGTTTAAAAGAACATCTAGTCAGTAAATTTAAATTGGCCCCAAACACTCCACTGGGTGGTGCCTATGAGGCAAAAAACATAATGCAAAATATTTTAAACTAAAACTCACTATCCCCACACAGAAATCTAAAACATCACCTCGTAGAACTCTTGAATGTTTTGGATTAATTCCAAAAATCCAAAAATGGACCCCACGGAAAAGTGTCTTGTATAATGCGCAAGCGCCCGGAAAGGTAAATCGTGATTCGATCTGGCCCGGGGTGCAAGTTTTGCGAATATCTTAGCATCATTGCGTTAACTGGAATACTTACAACGAATAAAACGGTAGGTGTTTAAAAGAAGCTGTTTATTACACGAATGCAAATTTATGTGTTAAGTCCTATCTGCTAGGATTCGAAATGGTTCGGTTGAGTAGATTTCATGTCAATTTGACCTTTTTAGTCTCCGAGGAAGGTGAAACTGCCGGAGCCTCTGCTATTATCTGCTATTACGTGCTGAGAAATCCTACAATACCGCCCTCGTGTTTGCTCATTGAAGAAAAACAGTGAACCAACGCCGAGGTTATTGGAAAGTCATCCTTGGTGAATTACTGTAGCATTGTTTGGTGTTTCTCATTAAAATCTGCTGTTCGTTTCTCAAGGTTGTGACTTAGTGGGCACCTATAAAGTCTCCATTCTTGCGTGGAAATCACCTGATTGAAGGCCCTGCCTCCATCGAAGCGCTGGATAAAATCCGCCTACACATAAGCAGTCATACGCATATGCTTGATTATAATTACGCATATGCAGGATGCATGAGCTAATCAATGGTGCACACATAAACAATTCATAAATTGAAAACAGCAAGTCTCACGAAAATTAACGACAACTAGGAAACTATCTGAATCCATAAAGAGATTATTTCTTAAACAAGCGTTATAAGCAGTGCTAAGCTTGAGAAGCACTATAAATGGTCCAACGGTTCCTTCACTGTGAGGGAGTCGAGCGAGTTAATCAGATGTTACGAAGCGCGTACCCAAATGGTTACTGATCATGCTGGTTCAAGCGATAGTGATAATCTCAGAACTGACGAATTGGTATTAAACATGCATTCATAAACAACCATGAATTTGATCTAATGCTTATCGATCCATATTATGTACCCGATTTTTCTACATTTTTTGGTTCCTCACTTTATTGTGCCTGATTTATTCTAACGCGCAACGTATGCACTATCTTTCGTCGCTCTATATTTTCTATTGTGAAGAAATGGATTACTTTTGCTTTCTTCAAACATTCACTAACAACGTGCAATGAGTGTGTGAAGCCAGCAGTGAACTTGACCCGAATAACTTGGATTTAGAGTAAACTAATAACTCTACTGAGTGAGTATGTAGCGTGATAGCTAGCGGTGTATTGCGTTACACACATGGACATTGGCTCGCTTTCTTGTCCCGAGCTCATCGTGCTTTTCATCTCTCCAGGGACCGTAAACTGGTACCATAGTTGTCTGGAAGGATAGCAGCACTGACTTTTTACATTGGTAGGCCACCGCAAGCCACATGTTCAGACGGGCCACATATTCATTCAATGGCTTCCACTATGCATGATTAAGTCAAATTCATGGTTAATCTCTTAGAGATTGATCAACGTCAAAACCTTTACTATCTTTCCATTTGTTGCAATAAGCGCTGAAATGCCACTAAACATTTTCGAAAGCATGTTTCATTCAATAACCCACAAATGGTGAATTATTACTATTTGCATCAGAGTTAATAAAGTATGTTGAAACTTTCAACATACGTCGATCGTTTTCACTTTTGACTCTATAAGAGCTTGCCAAATATTTTAGCAGGCAAAGCAACTTCTCGCACTGAAATATACATGGACACAATCTCCATTCCAAAATCATTAACGGTAAACAAAGTAATTCTCGCGCCATATGCATCTATCACATTCGATAATTTTTGACAAGATCTGAAACTTTATTCTACCCCTCGTGTCTGTTAAACAAAGCCACTCGATTTTCATACCCACGTCTATTTGTCTTACGAATTCAGAAAACCTAGATTTTTATGGAATCAAGCATGCAAACTAAGATATTCCGGTCCAGAAGCTGACTAAAAACTCACATACTGCCGTATATCGTTCAGATCTGAGGCTAGAGCTGAACTGTGATCGTAATGATGACTACTTGCATAACTGTGCTCCTCCATCATAACCGCTTCGCAAACATCTACAACGAAAGCTTCTTCTAAGGCAGCGCATCGATTTTTCGATTTAATCGAGTTGTTCGATAAAACGAGTAACTAAATAGTTATATAAAACGTCATCGGCATGAAAAACGAGTAGCAGAAAGATTATGATTTTACACATCAAGTGGAACTTCGCTCAAGTGGAAACGCTCTGAAATTTTTATCACTAATAAATTAGTCTTAAAACCTTTTAAAAAGGGATAAAATTGTTTTTGTTAATCCACAACTTCTGTAACTAGACAGCCTTATTTTACTCCTCAAAGTTAAAATGATGATTAATTGATTACGAATATTAAAGTTTCCTCCAGAGAAAGACCGAGCGAAGGATTCGTCGCCGAAAACACACCACCCTCTGATGCACATCGTGGTAAAGACCTGGATACGCCCTTGCAAGGTTACGTCAAGACTCCAAAAAGAACCAAGTTTGTAAGACCAGCAATAGACCAGCCTCAGTACCCCACACACTGGGTGCTGCCGACTATGACCTCAGGTGGTGAAACGACCAGTGAGAGGTCAGAAAATCTCGGGTTACGCAGGACGTCATTGGAACGGGATCAGACGAACACACGCCATGGAGATTACTTCTTACTATGCACGTATAATGCCAGAACACTCTCCACAGACGCCGATCTTCACATCCTTCTTGTAGTCGCAGATCGCATTAGATTTTATGTGTTCGCATTACAAGAAACAAAAACCAAGGAGACCGACATACGCCAACTAAGCAATGGGACCCTTGTCATCCGTGGAGAAAAGGTCCCGTCACGAAATTTCGGTGCCGTAGGCTTTCTTGTACACCCGTCCATTGTCCATCTCGTCGACTCATACGTGATCCTTTCCCTCGCATAGCCGTCCTACATCTTCAACTGACGCGCTATGAGAAGAACACAATCATAAACTGCTACTCACCGACCGACGCAGCTAATGAGAACGAATTAGATGCGTTCTACTATCAGTTGGAGGAAGTCATCCGCAATGATAAAGCATATCATAGATTTGTTGTTGGAGACTTCAACGCCAGAATAGGAAAGGCCAACGAGAGCGAATACAGAATCGGAAATTTTGGAATAGCAGAAAGAAATGAGAATGGGAGCCGTCTGGCAGGTCTCCTGTCAGCAGCAGGCCTCTTCCATGGCAGCTCGTTTCGAAGGACTGAAAAGCTGTGCCAAATTCGCCTCAGTTCCTCAAGCAAGAAGATCGGATCGCATTTCCATCACTACTAAGGAGTTGCCCGAAAAAAGAAGGAAACTGAAGCTTGATCCTACTGCAACACGTTTAACATGGCCAGTGATAAATGCCAGCTGCCGAAGAGCTTTGCAGGAAGATCTACAACGGTGCAAGCAGAAGAAAATACTGGAAGCAGCAGAGAAAAGAAGCAGTCTGAAAAAATGCCGTTGGGACTTGTGTGATTATAATGCTCCGTTGTCAGCCCTGATCAACGAAGATAGGATCGACAAAACTTCCCATCATAATATGGAATTAATAACGGGCGTTCTACACCAACCTTTTCCGCACTACAATCGCCGTTCCGAGCCCTAATATCCCCGCTGGAGAAAAACCACCTGGAATTCTTCCGTCGGAGGTTCGAGTTGCGATAGAAGGCATAAAAAGAGACATAGTTCCAAGACCCGATAATACCACTGCCGATTTCCTTAGACTGGAGGCTACAATTTACACGTACTTTTCGCAGATCATATGACAGGCTACTTCAAAAGGAAAAAATCCTAGACCAGTGAAGGGCGTCGCGAACGGTCATCCTTCCCAAGAATGGAGACCGAAGGAATCTTCGTAACTATCGTTCCATATGCTTGGTAGTCTAGAAGTCTTTCTCGAAAATTATGCTCTCGCGCTTGTCAAAAACATTGGATAAGGCGCAACCAATGGAGCAAGCAGGATTTCGAAAAGGATTTTGCTGCATGGACCACATCCAAACCGTGTCCAGCGTCATCGAAGCTTGTCGGGAATACCACTTGCCTCTAGCCCTAACCTTTGCCCACTATGAGAAAGCGTTTGACAGTGTCGAAACGAATGCAATCCTATCAGCGCTCATCGACCAAGGAGTGGAGCCGTCCTACATAAGGACTCTGTCCGACTGTTATCTGAACTGCACTACGAAAATACAGCTTTTAGATCGATCTCTTACAATAACCATAGGAAAAGTGGTTCGACAGGACGACGCAATATCGCCAAAGCTGTTCAGTGCTGCACTGCAATGGATAATGAAATCACTCGATTGGGATGAGAAAGGCATACGTATTGATGGAAAATTCCTAACGAACCCTTTTGCCGACGACATTGTCATTTTCTCAAGAGCTACTACTGAAGCAAAGGTGACGATCAACAAGATCAACAAAGAGAGGAAAAAGATCGGACTTCGCATAAATCGAAAGAAGACTCAGTTCATGAAAAGCCCATGGTGAGAAGGCGGACAAATTGAAGGGGATTGCTCTCTAATTGCAGAGACCACCTCGTAGTTTGCCTTGGGTGATCAATGAACGTGGAAAAC